TGTCCCAGTCAGACTGCTTCCCTTGTCATTTACTACACCAGAAATCATCTCCAAATTCCACCTAAATGTTTCGCCCAGAGTCAAAACATTCACAAACAAAGATTGGATTACAAGAAGAACCTCAGGTTTGTGTATGGGGCACCATAAACAAATTAATTAATTACATTAATCACAGGCTCAAACAACACTTTTTACAATCTGACATACACTTCATTCACTTGGTTCATCTTGGGCCACTCTCCTTGTGGAGAACATGGAACCATGGATCAGAACTCACACTCACTTCGCAGCTGTGCTGCGTCTCACACACACACACACAGATACTCATTCATCCATTTAAAAGCTAGCTTAATGTGCATTATAACTGATCTGAGTTGTTCACTCTTGGATCCACAATTCGCTGATGTTATCTCTCAGTGTCAGGCACACCATATAAACTTTTTTAGGTGGTAGTATGGTTTCCTAAACATACATGAAATTCCTAGATATTTTACAAATTATGTGCACAATTACTACATGCCAGTTGATATCCCTCCAACAGCTGTTAATGTTTTACCTCTTTTACCACTTAAGAGGTTCCACTTACATTTCTCATGTTTCTTATACAGTCATTAGCAGGTCCTTCCTGCCTCCCAAAACTGGGATGCAGTGGTGACCTTGGATTAACTCGATCTACTCCCAAGATCACTAGCAGCCGCTCTATTGGTCAGCGAATCCCCTTTACCATACCAGGTACCCTCCTCCCATATGGGGACTGTGCTGTACACCAGACGTCTCTGCGCGATTTATCAGTGGCCCCAGCCAAATGTACGACTTATTGGCTTCCCTCGTTAAACATACCATTTGTTCACAGCTGAGGATGGTTGTTGTTTGCCCCTGCAGTGAGTGGCTGGGAGCAGAGTTCCTCCAAGAAAAGGACTCAGGGCATGCCTAGGACATCTACTCCTCAAGTCTGTCCTGCAGGCAAGCAGAGCACGTCCCATCTGGGGGTGCCAAAAATGACTTCTGGAAACACAACCTCTAAGGTTATAAAGTAGGTATGTTTATTCAGCCCTGAGGCACACGGGGGATCATTCCACCACAAATGTGTGCACCTCTCGTGGCACCTTGCCTTAGCTTTATGCTACAAAGCATTACATATTCATAATACGCCTATACATATGCATGACCTATCCTCGCATTGTATTATCATAAGCTTGAAAGTCCTTTTCTTACGTTCCGTTCCGTCCCGGTCTCCTCCTAGTTGCGTCTGTGCAGTGTGTCCCAGTGGTCGTGGGCTGGGGTCGCAGAGATGAAGTAGCTCCTCTTCCTCTCTGTTGAACTTTTTGCCTCGGTTTATTGTGCAGTCTCTGTAGCCTCCTGGACTTAGGACGGACCATGGGGTTGGTTTTGACCAGTTTTTAGGGCTGTCTTCCTGTTCCATCAGGAAGCGTTCTCTCACAGCTTCCATCAATCAGGGTTTCCATATTGTTCTGCTCTCTGGCCCATCAACTATGAACTATTATCCTATTTTAATCTTAGTTTATCTTTCAACTAATAGGCCTCTAGTCCCTAGCCTGATCTCTAAATCTTCCATTCTTATCTCTAACCTAAGTTATACCTTCATTTCTTGAGTGCCTAATTTCTATATCCTATTTTAAATTCCTAGCTCCTCATTTCAAAACAATTTGATGACTTCTGAAGTAGAAAGGGTAACGCAATGAGGATTGAAGCTGGGTTTTGCAAATAGATGGAAGTGGGTGGGAGAAAATGACTGAAACATCTTCCCAGAGACGCCTAGGTGTTTATGTGATGTTTTCAGTCTGTGTCCAGTCCTTTGTGTAAAATGGTGGCGGAGAGAACTTCTGAAGTTAGTGACCTTTTATCCTGGGAACCTACATCATATGAGAGTTGCAAGATGAATGAAGTGTTAGACAGGAAATGCTAGCCAGTTACCCCTTTAAAAAAGGAAGTGGAAGCTCTTGTTTGTCAATAATTTTTATCCACAGTGTCAAATAAGTAAATAAAAATAATAGTACAAGACATTATAATAATAAAAAGCCCATCATTCGGAGAGGGTGTTTGTTTGACAAACAAGGGTATCTTGTTTAATGACAAGATGTAAAATACTGTTTGGAAGGTTGATGTGGGGAAGACCATACTAGAGGTGGTCAGCTTAATTTCTAGTATGGCTTTGCTTCAGATTGTCATTACAGTTACTTACTTGCACCAGATCCTTTTTTGTTTGTTTGCTTTGCAGTTTGGGGCCTATTTTACCATTCCCAGTTTGGAAGGTAAATTATCCCAGAAGGAACCAGAGTTTAGCTGAAGCCCCTCTGCAGGATTTGTCTCCTGCAACAAGTCCCATAGCTGGAGGCAGTCTTTACTCAGAGCAGGCAGGTTTGTCAGGGCGGGTTATCTATTCTCCTTTTAATCTGTAGATGGTTCCGGCTGAGATAATCACTAATACAGCTACAGCCTAAATAAATTCTGTCTGTTTGTGTTCTCCGGTTTCTGTGAGAGTGTTTCTTAAGTCAAGCTGTAACCTTCTCAGTTGTTTATTTGCCAAAGGATTGCAACTTTCTGCTTTTACAAAAGCTGAGTTGTTTATCATTACCAGAAGGTGACCCTGAGGAAATCTATGTATGTTTTTGGCTAGTGTTTTAAGCTGGAAAAATTCCTGTTTGTATGATGTACATGCTTATGTAATGGAAAGGTCAGAGTTAAAATGAAACAGAGAAAGAAAATGGAATGTTGGTTGGTTAATATACAGCTTTTCTTACAACTCTGTATTTTAAGGAATCACGTATACTTCTTGGCTGAGGAATATAAAACATGTCCCAATTACTATCTTTTTATCCAGCCACTTGAACTTGAAAAATTTTTAGTATACACTCTTCTAATTTATTTGTCAACTTCATTAAAAATAGTACACTGAGCTAGAAATTTAAGATGTTAAAGGCTTTTGCATGTTTAACTAAGAGGTAATTTCTTGCTATTAAGTGCAGGCTCAGTATTTTTACAGAATTTATGCCCAACATAAATGGTCTTATGTTCAGTTTCTGCTGATTTCCATTGTAGACTGACCTCAGGAGGCTGAATTATTTATAAAACAAGCATTTTTAAATACAGCATTTTTGTTTTAATGACTGAAGGAAGATGGAGTTCTTTTGAACATCCTTACTGCAATAACCAAATATTCTGTGGTAATACTTGCTTCTCAAGCTTTCATAAAAGTTAATGTTTGATTATTTGTTGATGCTGGACTTCATGGTGTTGACCCAACAAGGTCTTTAGTTCTGCCTCTCTTTGACTGAGCTTAAACATTTTCAAAACAGCAAAATAATCATATTCTACAAATCCTTTACAACTTTGGCTTCTTGGCTATTTAACTTCTTTCTGCAGACATTTTTCCAAATGACTGCATGAACACTTGACAACCTATTACTGACCTGCTTAAAATAAGGGGTAGCTACAGTCTTACCAACAATCGTAACAGAAAACTTTGTCGACTATGTAACTTTCTGTACTATAAAGTTTCCGGTTCATTTGTATAGTAGCAGGTATAAAAAGGTTTATGTCTGTAAATGTCTGTATGCTTATTCTTTCTCTGCATCTTTTGACTTCTTTAAACAAAACAAAAACCCAGCAAAAGTCCCCATATTAACAGTTTCAGAACAGTCTGGGGTTTTGTGCTGAAGCGGGTATAGTGCAGCACAGGGTCCAGGCACATTTCATGTTCACTGTCTGTGTGAACTGAATTGACATACTCTCAGCCAATTAAATGCTAGTGTGAATAAGTTGTACATAGAATTTTAATTGCTAAATCAGATCTTCAGTGTGGTGTACATCTTAGCCATTAATCTAAGCACCTCAGATGCTGACATCAGTCTAGTAGTGGTATTTAATACATTCTTAAGTAAGCTTCATTATGATTTGCGGAGAAATCACTCTATAACTTTTGGAGTTATAAAGTGGGTATGTTTATTCAGCGCTGGGCGCATGGGGGATCGCTCCACCACAAGCATGCGCCTCGTTTGCAGCTCCCGTCCGGCTTACATGTTACAAAATAGTGCATATTCATAAAACGCTTATACATATACATAGTCTACCCCCGCCTCCCCTAGCTTCTCATGGTAATCAGGTCTCCTCCTCTTGTGCCTGCGTGATGAGCTCTTCAAGCTCTGGGCTGGGGTCGCAATCTCCTGGGGAGGGGTCGTAAAGATGAAGTACCTTTTCTTCCTCACTGATGAACTTTTCACCCTGTCGCTCTGTGCAGCCTCAGTTGTTCTCTGGCTTTCTTCCAGGCCAGTGTTTTGGGGTAGTCTGTTCTTCAAAGACTAGGGGGGACCTCTCTTTGGGCTAGGAGATAATCGCCTAGCAACGTTACCAATATTTGGTATGTCTTTTTCGAACAGTCCCATATGCCTCCCCTTGTTTTTGCGCAGGCTTTGCACCATCAATCTAAGATTGATTAGACTCCCCGTCTCACATTATGTTAAACGGCTACTATTGTCTAGTTGGTTGATTTTTTTTCTCCTAGTCCCACATTCAAGATAATTTTAGACCAGGTTTGCTTGACTTAAGTCTTCTTATGCCCAAACTCAGTTTACCTGTCCCTACAGATTACCAACAGTAGGTAATGCCATGTTTTTTTGCTCTGTTGACAGTGATGTGGTAGCAGGGCAACAGTGGAGAAATACGTGGGCACAGTTCTGTGACCCTCAGAGAGTAAGAGATAGTGTTTCTTGTGAAACCCTTAACCATCAACAGTACCCTCAATGTTAGCTGCAATTAGATTAAAGAAGGTGTGTTAAATTCTCCCAATGTGTTGTGCTGTTACATAGAAAAATCACTGCAGATTCAAGATCACATGGTACTTCCGCCACCACTAAAAGTTTCAGTCCAAGTATTTCTGTGTTCAGATTTTTTTTCCCCCTACTGAATTCTTACTTCCACCTTTTCCAAATCCAGGAGTTGTTATAAAGACCAATGCTTACCTTTGTACATTTACTTTATAGGTTAATACTCAAATGCCAGCTGTGAAGCAAACCGAGTCCAAGCAGGCTGACTTGGAACACCAGAAACCCAATGAATATGCACCTAAAGCAGTAACTACAGTAAAAAAAACAGATCCACTGCAGGGTAAAGGTGAGATGTAAATCACTACCTTACTAGCAACTGGTTAAGAACATTTGTCATTTAATTGAACATTTAAAAAACATTTTTGTACACAAGATTAAGATGGAAGAAGTGACACTGGTAGACTCAACTTTAATCAATTTTCCAGCTGTGGAGAGGTATAATATCTATTCAAGCATTTTTATTACTAGCATACCTACTGGTTCAGTTTTGTTGTAACTGACATGTGCATGTAAAGGAAAATACAAATATTTACAATTCTGAAGTCATATTCCTTATTTAATATGGAGAAGGTACCCTGCTTTTGGAAGCAATGATTTTCAAGCACGTTTAAAATCTGCTTTCTTAATAAGCTTGACACATCCAGCCTACTACCCAACTGCCCCCTCCCCCCCCCCCCCCCC